ACCGCCGAGTGTCCCTATTCATGTCAAGAGTGTGGGAAGTGTTTTAGTCAGAATAGATACCTTTTAAGACACAAGAAAATTCACAAGAGGGAGTTTCCCTATTCATGCGAAGAGTGTGGGAAAGGTTTCCTTAGTAAACGAAAACTTATTGTTCACCAGAGAAGTCACATGGGTGAGCGTCCGTTTTCCTGTTCAAACTGTGGTAAATGTTTTACGGAGAATAGAAAACTTCTCAGACACCAGAAATGTCACACGGGTGAGCGTCCTTTTTCATGTTCAGAATGTGGGAAAAGTTTTACCCAGAAAGGAGACCTAAATAGACACCAGAAAATTCACACTGGTGAGCGTTTGTTTTCCTGTTCAGAGTGTGGTAAATGTTATGCGGAGAATGGAACACTTCTTTCACACCTGAAAACTCACACGGGGGAGCGTCCTTTTTCATGTTTGGAGTGCGGAAAATGTTTTGTCCAAAAAGGACACTTTTCTAGACACCAGAGAATTCACACTGGTGAGCGTCCTTTTCCGTGTTCGGAGTGTGGAAAAAGTTTTCATCAGAGAAGTTTACTTTTAAGACATCAGAGTATTCACAAGGGCGAAAATCCTTTTTTTTGTTCGGTTTGCGGGAAATGTTTCTCTAAGAAAGCAAACCTTGATAGACACCAGAAAATTCACACTCGGGAAGCCCGCTTTTCATTTTTATTTTGTAAAAAGATAACCATGTAAGGCGAATGTTTAGTCGATAGAACGGCGAGAGTGAACAATGTGTGTGCTGGATAATTTGTAGCGCTGCAGTGCATAGTTCTAGAGAAGACTGGATTGGATAAGAGCCACATGTCCTTTCTAGTCATGAGCCAATCTTTCCAGGTTCAGTTCTCTCAGGACACTATCCTCACTTAACCCCCCGAGAAGATGTGTGTGTATTTCCCTAATCATCTTCCAGGACAGCAACCTGAGAGATGATTGGTTCCACCTTCTACAGGAAACACAATTAGCAAAACAGTTAAAAGCCCCTCCCCTTCCACTCGTACCTCAGTTTAGATTGTGTTTCCTACCGTCCAGGATATTTCAATGCTCCAAAAATATGAATAAAGGTAACAGCACCGAACTCCCATCACATGCCGTGCGCAATCATAAAACTGTCTGCAAAAGCTTAGCACAAGAAGAACAAATGTGCTGCCCAGAGCTCGTACATGGAAGCAGTTATGGGGTTTTGGGGATCATTAATCAAACCCGAGTCCTTTAGATAATTACCTGAGTTCATTAGATAATAGGCAGCGGCCCGCCCCTTCCATGTAATTAGATAGTCGGAATGGGCGGCATCTCACTTTTTATCTTGAATGGAGATCTGAAACCAAGTTCTGCTCATATGTCAGGGGTCCCATTGATGTGCGGGTGATGGGGCGTGTTTGCTTTCCATCGTGTATGTCTCACTTATTTGACTTCTGTTTTTGTAAATGTTTGTAATTTGTCTCTGCACTGCCCGCCTCGGGATATTAAATCTAAAAATGAATACGCTGGTCTCTTGATTGCTCTAAAGAACGCACAAATCTGAAGACTGTTGTATGACAGGGTCTCAATGCCAAACAGGGATCTGTATGTCTGATGTGTGGGAGGGGCGGTGGTAAAGGTGACCCCTTACTGTTCTGGCTCAAAGGAAAGCTTGGGGGATCTCGGAGACGTGGGGAAATCACCGAACACAACCATCAGAGGACACCAGATTGTGAGGAAGATTACAGTGAGGTGGCAGGATCAAGGTTCCCCACCAGTCGGTAAGTTGTTGGCGATGGCAATTCACATATTGTTTATGCTTGTTGTGTTTATGGCCGCGTGACCTCCAGTTGTTATTGTAGCATCTTTGAATTCTCTGACCATCTCCTATATCATGTCTACCATAACTGCCGGATTTCCTCTGTCTCTGATTATCTACTGCAGGATGTCCATAGTCTCTACTGTAGAATGTCCACAGTCTATAATCATCTTCCGTAGAATGTCCATAGTCTCTGACCATTTGCTGTAGGATGTCCACAATCTCTGACCATTTTTTGTAGCATTTCATGTGTGGCCCTTTGGTGATGTCGGGAGATGCACTTGAGGCTCCCTATATCTAGTATGTGGACCATCACTGCCGTCATGTCATGTTCCCAACAAATGAGGTGGATGTAGATCAATCATGATGAACAACACCAACACAATCTTCTGTTGCTGGACTTCCATCACAAATGAAGGCCCTCTAGCCCGATGCCGAATGTCAACAAACCGCTCAGAGATGACGGCTGATGTCAGTGACCATATATGGTCATGACCATATTTGGTCAATTATGTCAACCAGGATTCCCGCTGGCTTGATTGACAGGAAGCTCTCATTTAATGGTGGCAGTGATACCTCTACTAACTGAATGACTTCCTGAGGAAGCAGCTGAGGGTTCAGCAGACCAAATCTGGCCATTTAGTGCTCCAATTCAGCGAACGATGAACCGTCTGGGTTCGGGTCAGAGTTACAATTGGTCTGAACCCCCGAAGCTAAATTATATTTAAATTTTTAGGATTATTTTATTCTGTAATTTTACCTATTTATAAGTATTAATAAACTATCAAACTGACATTCTTTGTATGGTTTATTATAAATGATATATAATCCGGGTGTATAATAATATGTGCCACATACCTGAAGAACGATATGAGCAGCAGTTCTTACATCCTACACAAGGTGGCGATCTTGCTTAGTGTGTTGCGTGTAGTGACAGGAGGTGATGTCAGTTAGACACAGGAAGTGATGTAAAGCAGACAGGAAGTGATATAGGAGTGTAAACAGGAAGTGATGTAAGGTTTAAACAGGAAGTTCTGGGTGAGAGGTGAGTTGGGAGGAAGTAGAGAGGAGACATTTCCGGAACTGGCAGCAGAGTAGGTAAGAAGATATTATTTCATATTTACACCCAGTGACCATTCATCATGCCCATCCTTGTCCTCAATATTCACTGTGATGTCTTTGATCTCCAGCGGATACACAGATGTATACATATATTTGAGTTATAATTCAAGCACCGATATATTCTGAATTTTGAGCGATTTAGCCTCTTACGAAATTTGTTTTCTAAACTATTACCCATGTTTTCGCCAATATATTGGACCCCCTTCTATGTCTGGAGCAGGATATCAAAGGAGTGATGAACAACCTGGCCGGAGTTTGGTTCACTTGGATGTTCCCCAGCCAGAAATCCGGGTTCGGTGAATGTCGAAGCAAGCCGAGACCAGGACCGCACAGCGTCATTGGTTGCTAGAACGCTCGTGGCTTGGCCGCAAGGCATCATGGGTTATTAGGGCGCAGGTGGGTACACCGTTATGACTAATGACACTATGGGGCCACCAGCATCTTAGCAGCCAATGACACTGTGCAGCCTGCACATCATCATTGGCTGCTAGGACACAGACGGAGGGTCGATTTGGCAATTGAACTGTCCAAATCAATTGCCGTTCCACGAACTGTGAATAGCTTGAGTTCAAGACGAACTCGTGGTTGACCCGAACCTGATGGTCACGCCCAATGGAGAGGAAGAAGGCAGAACTACAGTACAAGTTCAAATCCAGGCAGCAGAAGAGATGATTATCTTACAGGAAGTAGAAGAAGGGATGAATCTCCTGATATTTATGATTTGATGGAAGTGAGTCTGCAACTCTGAACCTCACAGTATGGTTCTCTTGGCCCTCACCATCACTCTGTCGCGTGCTCCTGAAAGCCTATAATACACCAAAGATGCCCCAAGGTTCAAACTCTTCTCCCGTCAATCCAAACCTAAAATACTAGGCTTTGATGTTGGAGGAAAGAAATCTCTGGCTTACGTTCTGTGACATTAATAAGGTCTGTAATATAGTATAAAGAGCAGCTCGAGGTGCCAGAACTCCGGAGACATAATTCATCCCGCGACAGTCCAGATCATTCTCATTTATCATTTCTCTACAGAGAGGAGCATCTTATGTAGATCTGATGACATCAATGAAGATGGACAAAGACCAAACCCACGTGACTGAGAGGATATTAGACCTCACCCTGGAGATCATCTACCTGCTGACCGGAGAGGTGAGGAGGATTCTGGGAAGGTTCTATGACATAAGATGTATCTCTTTATTAAAACACAGACCTGACTGAAGAGGTGAGGAGGATTCTGGGAAGTCAGTAGTGATAATTGTTACTTTCTGTCTTTACTCAGGATTATAAAGTAGTGAAGAAAATATCAGGTGAGCCGTTAACACCCAGCAGCTGCCTTCATGGGACATCACCCATCACAGAGCCTCCACCTCACCGCCTGACCACAGAGGTGAACAATGACAAGAAGGTTCTAGAAGTCACCCAGAAGATGATTGAGCTGCTGACAGGAGAGGTGAGCGGTGCCGGGAATTCTGGGACATGATCCAGGAACAGACAAGGGGTGTGTCTGGGTGGTGACTGTATCATTGTGTGTGTCAGGTTCCTATAAGGTGTCAGGATGTCTCTGTCTATTTCTCCATGGAGGAGTGGGAGTATCTAGAAGGACACCGGGATCTCTACAAGGACGTGGTGATGGAGAATGAGCCGCCCCTCACATCACCGGGTAAGAGGAGAGAGCAGTACGGAGGGTCCACCTACATCCCCCATCATCTGATACACACATAGAAACAATGTATTCAGTCAGTGTGTGTGTTTCCTACAGATGGATCCAGTAAGAGGAACCCACCAGAGAGATGTCCCCGTCCTCTGTATTCCCGGGATTCCACCCAGGAAGATCACACCGCCCCCCACCATGATCAGGTAGATGGGACTGAGTTTGTAGACCTAAAATATATTCTAAGCTATGAGAGAACTTTCCTCTATGTAATATCTCGTTATTTGTACCTTTTCAAGAAGTTATATTCTATCATCTTTGGGGATTTAGGGTGAAGAACTGGAAGACATCAAAGTCGAGGTTAAAGAGGAAGAAGAAGAGACGTTGGTGAGTGGAGCTCAGCAGTCTATGGAGGAGGGGGAGATGATTATGAAGAGTAAGCAGGAGGAATCTTCTCTACATATGGACACAAGTAAGTGAATAACACTAAATACAGAAACAGTTCACATCTCCATTTCACTTCTATGAGTATAAAGTGTGTGTGTGTGTAATATATATATATATATATATATATAAAAAAAAAAAATCCATAACTCACAGCTGATCCAGATGAAGATATAAAGCTAGACCGAATTTGCTGCAACAAAGATAAAGAAATCCCTTCCTAATTCCAGAGGACAATCGGATAACTCCCCAGATCGACCCTCTAACCTGTTTTCTCTACAAATATTACAAGCCATCAATATATATTGTATTTATAAACCCCCTCAATTTTGCACATACACTATATTGCCAAAAGAATTAAGCCCCTCCCCGTCCAAATCATTGGATTCAGGTGTTCCGTGACATTTCCTGGCTACTAAATATTCCGCGGTCACCTGTTACTGGGATTATAACAAAGTGGAAGCGACCGGGAACAACAGCAACTCAGCCAGGAAGTGGTCGGCCACGTCACATGACAGAGCGGGGTCAGCGCATGCTGAAGCGCACAGTGCGCAGAAGTCACCAACTGTCTGCAGAGTCAATAGCTACAGACCTCCAAACTCCATGCGACCTTCAGATTGGCACAACAACAGTGCGTAGAGAGCTTCATGGAATGGGTTTCCATGGCCGAGCAGCTGCATCCAAGCCGCACATCACAAAGTGCAATGCAAAGCGTGGGAATGCCGCGGTGTAAAGCGCGCCGCCACTGGACTCTAGAGAAGTGGAGACGTGTTCTCTGGAGTGACCAATCACGCTTCTCTGTCTGGCAATCCGATGGGCGTGTCTGGGTTTGGCGGTTGCCAGGAGAACGGTACTTGCCTGACTGCATTGTGCCAAGTGTAAAGTTTGGTGGAGGGGGGATTATGGGGGGGGTTGTTTTTCAGGGGTTGGGCTTGGCCCCTTAGTTCCAGTGAAGGGAACTCTTAAGGTCTCAGCACACCAAGACATTTTGGACAATTTCATGCTCCCAACTTTGGGGGAGGAGTTTGGGGATGGCCCCTTCCTGTTCCAACATGACTGCGCACCAGTGCACAAAGCAAGGTCCATAAAGACATGGATGGGAGAGTTTGGGGTGGATGAAGTTGACTGGCTGCACAGAGTCCTGACCTCAACCCCATAGAACACCTTTGGGATGAATTAGAGCTGAGACTGCGAGCCCCTCCCCCAACATCAGTACCTGACCTCACAAATGGTCCAACATTCCCATAGACACACTCCTAAACCTTGTGGACACCTTCCCAGAAGAGTTGAAGCTGTTATAGCGGTAAAGGGCGAGCCAACCCAATACTGAACCCTACGGACTAAGACTGGGATGCCATTAAAGTTCATGTGCGTGTAAAGGCGTCCCAATACTTTTTGGTAATATAGTGTATATTTTTTAAAAAATTACAGTAAAGGACTAATCCTCGTTTTCACTACGGCAAAGAACCTTCTCCATGTTTGGAGGTTAAACCTTTTTTCTGCAGTTACCCGAAGTTTGTTCTGACTTTAATAAAGGAAAAGATTAAGAAATCCTAACTGCTAACAAGAAGAACATCATCTATGTACCAACACCACCATCCAATGTGTAACGTCATGTCCCCAACAAATGAGGAGGAGATACTGTATACCATATGAAGGTCCATCTCCATTCCTCAATATAACGTCCTTAGACCAACAAATGAGGAGGAGATACTCTACACCATATGAAGGTCCATCTCCATTCCTCAATATAATATAATGTAATGTGACCAACAAATGGGGAGGAGATACTGTACACCATATGGAAGGTCCGTCTCCATTCCCCAATATAACGTCATATGACCAACAAATGGAGGAGATACTGTACACCATATGGAAGGTCCGTCTCCATTCCCCAATATAACGTCATATGACCAACAAATGGAGGAGATACTGTACACCATATGGAAGGTCCGTCTCCATTCCCCAATATAACGTCATATGACCAACAAATGGAGGAGATACTGTACACCATATGGAAGGTCCGTCTCCATTCCCCAATATAACGTCATATGACCAACAAATGGAGGAGATACTGTACACCATATGGAAGGTCCGTCTCCATTCCCCAATATAACGTCATATGACCAACAAATGGAGGAGATACTGTACACCATATGGAAGGTCCGTCTCCATTCCCCAATATAACGTCATATGACCAACAAATGGAGGAGATACTGTACACCATATGGAAGGTCCGTCTCCATTCCCCAATATAACGTCATATGACCAACAAATGGAGGAGATACTGTACACCATATGGAAGGTCCGTCTCCATTCCCCAATATAACGTCATATGACCAACAAATGGAGGAGATACTGTACACCATATGGAAGGTCCGTCTCCATTCCCCAATATAACGTCATATGACCAACAAATGGAGGAGATACTGTACACCATATGGAAGGTCCGTCTCCATTCCCCAATATAACGTCATATGACCAACAAATGGAGGAGATACTGTACACCATATGGAAGGTCCGTCTCCATTCCCCAATATAACGTCATATGACCAACAAATGGAGGAGATACTGTACACCATATGGAAGGTCCGTCTCCATTCCCCAATATAACGTCATATGACCAACAAATGGAGGAGATACTGTACACCATATGGAAGGTCCGTCTCCATTCCCCAATATAACGTCATGTGACCAACCAATGAGGAGGAGATACTGTACACCATATGAAAGGTCCGTCTCTGTTACCATGAGCGCTGACACACTGTTAGGTTCTAGAACAATATATATGACTGAATGGAACACATGAGGGATATTTATAATATTTGTTTTAACATTTCTTCCCAACAGATGGAAGACATGTCTGGAATACTACGGAGAGAAATCTTATTTTATCTACAGACTCTTATGAAGGAGATGATGACATCACACAACATTCTCTAGGAGTGAATCCCATTACTCATAATAAACATCACAGACCTTCCCATTCAGAGCCATCAGTGGATCCGTCTAATCCTGAGGAATCTTCTGACCAATCACAGACTGTTACTCCAGATATCTATCTGAGATCTCACAATAGAGAAACATCAACCTATCCATCTAATCCCGGGGAATCTTTATGTTATGGAGCTCACACAGGAGAAAGTTCATTGAACATAGCACTTGTTAGTCTCAAGAAAAAGAACACCGCTGAGCGTCTTTATTCATGTCCAGAGTGTGGAAAATCTTTTGTTAAGAAAGGAGACCTCTTAAGACACCAAATAATTCACACGGCTGAGCATCCTTTTACCTGTTCAAAGTGTGGGAAAAGTTTCACTGAGAAAGGGACACTTATTGGTCACCAGAGAAGCCACATTGGTGAGCGTTCCTATCCCTGTTCAGAGTGTGGGAAAAGTCTCAGTACTAAAGGAAAACTTATTGTACACCAGAGAGGTCACACGGGAGAACAGCCCTTTTTCTGTTCAGAGTGTGGGAAACGTTTCACTGAGAAAGGAAAACTTATTAGACACCAGAGAAGTCACACGGGTGAGCGTCCTTTTACCTGTTTAGTCTGTGGAAAATGCTTTACAGAGAAAGGGAAGCTTACTATACACCATAGAATTCACACTGGAGAGCGTCCTTTCTCCTGTTCAGAGTGCGGGAAAAGTTTTACTCAGCATGGAGACCTTTTAAGACACCAGAGAGTTCACACAGGTGAGCGTCCTTTTACCTGTTTAAAATGTGGAAAAAGTTTCTCTGTGAAAGGAAAACTCATTGCGCACCATAGATGCCACACGGGTGAGCGTCCATTTTCCTGCTCAGATTGTGGCAAATGTTTCACTGAGAAAGGATCAGTTACTAGGCACCAGAGAATTCATACTGGTCAGAGTCCTTATTCCTGTTCAGAGTGTGGGAAAAGTTTCAGTTCTAAAGGAAACCTTTTTGAACACCAGAGAAGTCACACAGGTGAGCAACCATTTTCCTGTTCAGAGTGCGGGAAATGTTTCACTGATAAAGGAAAAGCTATAAGACACCAGAGAAGGCACATGGGTGAGCGTCCTTTTACCTGTTCAGATTGCGGAAAATGCTTTACTGAGAAAGGAAAACTTATTGTTCACCAGAGAATTCACACGGGCGAGCGTCCTTTTTGCTGTTCAGAGTGTGGGAAACGTTTCACTCAGAAAAGTGTTCTTCTTAGACACCAAAGTACTCACACAGGTGAAAAATCTTTTCCATGTTCAGATTGCGGGAAATGTTTCGTTAGGAAGGGAGGTCTGGTTGCACACCAGAAAGTTCACATTCAGGAAGGCCCTTTTTCATGTTGAAAGAGATATTTTACACAATTAGATTAGATCTAATAAAGAAGCAGATCAGTCATTAAACAACTGCATGATTCCAAATTAGTTTAAGGGTACGACTTAGCAAAAGTTATGTTTAGGTTCTGATTCCGATAGGCTGAATCATTTGGCTTTGTGAGAGATGGAAGGTCATGAGATCCAGCAGGGAAACATGTGAATTTATGGAGCCAGGTGAGTGTTGGCCACAAAACCGAGTATTCTATAGTTAGAGTTTTGATCCTATGTGCTGCAAGAGCAACTTGGAGCCTAATACATATGGGGAGCGCGCTTCAAGGCCTGTCTGGTCTACACAGACAGGCCACCAAGCCAGACTGATGTCTGAGAGTTGGACATCGGGAAGGGACAGAAGTAGTCCGCGTCCAAACCGGCCCGGTGTGTCTGAGCTAAGCAAGTCTGTATGTGGGCGGGCAACTGGTCTAGGCTGGAGACTGAAGGAACCTGTTCAGCAAGGGGGACGAGACTCCCGTCCTAGGGAGCTGTGCTACAAAATAGCCAAGAGGTTGAAATATGTTTGTGTTCTTTGTTATTATACAAACCCGTTCTGCGTGACCGGAACATTGTGTTATGTTGATTAATAAAAGTGGGTCCAAAGCCCTCAAACCGACTTTGATGAGTGGACTGAAACTGTCTGAAGCTAAATCTCACAGCTTCCTCTATTACTCGGGGACTCCAATGGTAAGATCTAATACTACAGTTCCTTTATCTCTCCTTGCCCACATTGGGGTGTCCTTCTTTTTTACATTTTACATTCTTCACGAAAAAAAAACAAAAAACGATTTAATTGGGAAGAGTGGGGCCCTATATAATGGGCCAGGATTGTGGACCCGGGAACTCAAGAGATAGGAAATATCTTTGGTATACTCCTAACCACAGGTTCCTCAGATTTGCCCCTGGGTAGGGGGAGCTTTAGGGATTTGTCAGTAAAACTGGAGATTATAGGGGTGCGGTTGGATCGTTAGAACTCGTAGATATTAGGGTTGCACAGATACCAAGTACAGTACTCACTCGGTACAAGTACGAGTACATGTACCGATACTTTTGAGCTCCAAGACTAGACTAGAGAAAAATTCAGAAATTAGGAGGCCGCTGTCATTTGTAAGGTGCACACGGAGCTCCCGGGATTTGTACATCTCTGTTTTAATGTACGATTTTGTTTTTGTAAATATAAATAAAGGGGATGGACCGATACCAGTTTTGCGAGTACGAGTACTGGTACTTGCCCAAGTACTTACAAGTACGAGTACTGAGACATTTTTGTTTATTGTCATGTGACAGTTTTTCTAAAACAATACAGACTAATTAATTCAGGACAGTGGTGGAGCACCAGAGCCAGGTCCAAGCTGCAACCGCTGCAACCCTGGTAGTTCTCATGAAAATGCCAAGTATCGGCACTGGTACTCGAAAAGTATCTGTGTATCCCTAGTAGATATTATAGACTTATTGCCCTCAAAAGAAACAGGGCCGAGCGGGTAGCACGCTCACAAAGATGGCACTATAGCACTGAACTGTGGTAATATATGGGCAAATATGCCAATACATGGGCAACAGGCTGGCAATTGCGAAATAAATCATGACGGCAATCAGGACAAATACACGGGGGCAGCAAATGGGCAATTACAACAATACATCGGGCAACAAGTAGGCCATCATGAGAAGACCTGAGGTAAGAAATGGGCAATCACAACAATACATTATTATTATACAGCATTTATATAGCGCCAACAGTTTGCGCAGCGCTTTACAATATAAGGAAGACATTACAATAATAATACGATTTAAGACAAGATGGTAAAGGAGGGCCCTGCCCCTGGGGGCTTACGATCTAAAAGGGAGGGGCAAGTGATACATGAGGAGGGAGCTGTGTGGGGATGAATTGTTTGAGACAGAAATCATGACACCAATCAGGATAAATACACGGGGCAACAAATGGGCAATCACAACAACACATCGGGCAACAAATGGGCAAAAATGATATATATATATATATATATACACACACACATGAGATATTTATATATGAGGAAACCAAAAATATGAGAATATATATATATATATTTTTTTAAAGAAATTCATATTAGTGGTCCGCGGGATTTAAAATGATGAATTTAGTGGTCCACGAGGTCCGAAAGGTTGCCAACCGCTGCCATAGAATGTATAGAGCTCCATAAGAAGTATAGAATTCCCTAGTACAGCTAGAACTCCATAGGCCATATAGAACTACACAGGATGAATAGAACTCCATAGGATATATCTAAAACTCCATAGAACATATTAGAACTCCAGAGGATGTCTAGAACTCCATAAGAAGTAAAGAACTCTATAGGCCAGTGGTGGCGAACCTTGGCACTCCAGCTGTTTTGGAACTACAAGTCCCATGAGGCATGAGTGCCAAGGTCCGCCACCACTGCTATAGGCCATAAAGAATTTCACAGGATGACAACTGTAGAACTCCACAGGACGACTAGAATTCCATAAGACGTCTAGAACTCCATAGGACGTCTAGAACTCCATAGGACGTCTAGAACTCCATAGGACGACTAGAACTCCATAGGACGTCTAGAACTCCATAGGACGACTAGAACTCCATAGGACGTCTAGAACTCCATAGGACGACTAGAACTCCATAGGACGACTAGAACTCCATAGGACGTCTAGAACTCCATAGGACGTCTCGAACTCCATAGGACGTCTCGAACTCCATAGGTTATCTAAAACTCCATAGATCTTATTAGAACTCCATAGGATGTCTAGAACTCCATAAGAAGTAAAGAACTCCATAGGCCATAAATAACTTCACAGGATGACAACTGTAGAACTCCATAGGATGACTAGAACTCCATAAGAAGTAAAGAACTCCATAGGACAACTAGAACTCCATAGGACGTCTAGAACTCCATAAGAAGTAAAGAACTCCATAGGACGACTAGAACTCCATAGGACGTCTAGAATTCCATAGGACGTCTAGAACTCCATAGGTTATCTAAACTCCATAGAACATATTAGAACTCCATAGGATGTCTAGAACTCCATAAGAAATAAAGAACTCCATAGGCCATAAAGAACTTCACAGGATGACAACTGTAGAACTCCATAGGATGACTAGAACTCCATAAGAAGTAAAGAACTCCATAGGACAACTAGAACTCCATAGGACGTCTAGAACTCCATAAGAAGTAAAGAACTCCATAGGACGACTAGAACTCCATAGGACGTCTAGAATTCCATAGGACGACTAGAACTCCATAGGAAGACTAGAACTCCATAGGACGTCTAGAACTCCATAGGACGTCTAGAACTCCATAGGACGACTAGAACTCCATAGGACGTCTAGAACTCCATAGGACGACTAGAACTCCATAGGATGTCTAGAACTCCATAGGACGACTAGAATTCCATTGGACGTCTAGAACTCCATAGGACGTCTAGAACTCCATAGGACGTCTAGAACTCCATAGGACGACTAGAACTCCATAGGACGACTAGAACTCCATAGGACGACTAGAACTCCATAGGACAACTAGAACTCCATAGGACGTCTAGAACTCCATAAGAAGTAAAGAACTCCATAGGACGACTAGAACTCCATAGGACGACTAGAACTCCATAGGACGTCTAGAACTCCATAAGAAGTAAAGAACTCCATAGGACGACTAGAACTCCATAGGACGTCTAGAACTCCATAGGACGTCTAGAACTCCATAAGAAGTAAAGAACTCCATAGGACGACTAGAACTCCATAGGACGTCTAGAACTCCATAGGACGTCTAGAACTCCATAAGAAGTAAAGAACTCCATAGGACGACTAGAACTCCATAGGACAACTAGAACTCCATAGGACGTCTAAAACTCCATAAGAAGTAAAGAACTCCATAGGACGACTAGAACTCCATAGGACGACTAGAACTCCATAGGACGTCTAGAACTCCATAGGACGACTAGAACTCCATAGGACGTCTAGAACTCCATAGGACGACTAGAATTCCATAGGACGTCTAGAACTCCATAGGTTATCTAAACTCCATAGAACATATTAGAACTCCATAGGATGTCTAGAACTCCATAAGAAATAAAGAACTCCATAGGCCATAAAGAACTTCACAGGATGACAACTGTAGAACTCCATAGGATGACTAGAACTCCATAAGAAGTAAAGAACTCCATAGGACAACTAGAACTCCATAGGACGTCTAGAACTCCATAAGAAGTAAAGAACTCCATAGGACGACTAGAACTCCATAGGACGTCTAGAACTCCATAGGACGTCTAGAACTCCATAGGACGACTAGAACTCCATAGGACGACTAGAACTCCATAGGACGACTAGAACTCCATAGGACGACTAGAACTCCATAGGACGACTAGAACTCCATAGGACGACTAGAACTCCATAGGACGACTAGAACTCCATAGGACGACTAGAACTCCATAGGACGACTAGAACTCCATAGGACGACTAGAACTCCATAGGACGACTAGAACTCCATAGGACGACTAGAACTCCATAGGACGACTAGAACTCCATAGGACGACTAGAACTCCATAGGACGACTAGAACTCCATAGGACGACTAGAACTCCATAGGACGACTAGAACTCCATAGGACGACTAGAACTCCATAGGACGACTAGAACTCCATAGGACGACTAGAACTCCATAGGACGACTAGAACTCCATAGGACGACTAGAACTCCATAGGACGACTAGAACTCCATAGGACGACTAGAACTCCATAGGACGACTAGAACTCCATAGGACGACTAGAACTCCATAGGACGACTAGAACTCCATAGGACGACTAGAACT